GTAGTAAGGAAAAATACGCATTCAATGAAAAGGCTGAAGTGACTGAAGAGCTGCCAGGGCCCACCCTGACCACAGCAGAGAAAACAGTTTGGCCAATTGTCAAATTTTGCCCTCAACACTAATTTCTGCAGTAGTGAAGACTTTATTGCTGTGGTTGCTGGAGAATGGCTTCTGCTTTATGAGTTATAACTCCAGACTGAAAACACAAAGGGGCAAAAAAACCCCTTTTCTAGTGCTGCTCTGGGGTTATATGACTGTGTCTAATTCACTGATACCAATTTCTGGGTAGCGCTACGGGTTAAGGAAACTTTACTGTGTGTTTCTATTGCAGAGCCTTGTGCACACTGTGATGTTTGCAGCTTCTTTTTTCCCCTTAATTATTTAGTAAGACCAAAGGTTTCCAATGTTGACTCCACCATTTATTGCAGCTCTGGGTTCAGTGGAGGACATGGATACTTGCGGGGTCTGAGAGCAAAAGCAGCTTATGCTCGGTACAGCTTATCCATCCTTTTGGGATCAGATCAACATTTACATGTCTGAGACTTGTGTTGCTTACGATGATTGTGACCTGAAAGCAGTTAGATGTGCAAGGCAAGGGAGAAGAAACTTAAGGCCAGCCACTCGGCTGCTCCCTAATGAGCCTTGTCGCTGATGGAGCTGCCCCCATCCACAGCCATTTGCTCTTCTGAACTTAGCTTCCTGGTAGCACTAACACATCAACTCTATTCCTATTTAAAGAGGTAACATGTAAGTAGTGATAATAAACCACCTTACAAACTCTGTAATAGGGTCCTGGTAAGTTTATGGACTGATCATGAGGTCTTGTGTATCTGGTAAGGGCAATAGCAGTTCGTTGAGAAATCTGATCGAAAGGTCTTGCTTTTACTTCCCGGTGTCTTTTTAGTTTTCCTGCTGCCTGAAACCCTTTGCAGAAATTATGCAAATGATCCTTACAGATCATTTCTCTTCACTGTTCTTAAAAGTGTCCAAATAAGGATATTCCAAAGAACTCCAAAAAAAAAAAAAAAGGAGTACTGTACACAAAGTCAGACAAACTTATACCCACTGTGAATGGAAGCTTTTTCAGGAAAAGATGGGTCTATTTTCTTGTAACATGGTACACATTTATAGTTCTACACAAGATCTTCCAGGGTGGTTCCCATGAGTTTTCACATCTATGAAATACGAGCAGCAAAACTTCCCTCCCACACCCTGAATGAATGCGTACAGTTTATGTCACAGGTATGTTTTTAAACAAAGACAAGAAAATTAATAACATTTAATACTGTAAAGAACAGCAACCTGCATGATCTGAACAGCTCCCCTAGAAGCTACTGCTCAGCAGATGCATTTTCAACTAGCAATTTGGCAAAAAGAAAGAAGAAAAAAAAGAAAAGATGTTTTATAGGACATCTCAAAAGCAGCTTACCATCCTGGTTACCCCACTCCCAGTCAGGGCCACGGACTACTTTAGCACCCTGGAAAGTCCCTTTTAAGGTGATGCGAGTCAAATTCTGTCGAGGACTCACTAGGACTCTGGAAAAACAAAATAAGAGAAAACAAATGAAATTTATTGTTACTATTCACGCCTTATAAAGCTCTGTTCCAACTGAGGTCTGTCACATGAGGACCAAGTGTTCCACGCTTACGTAGAGAAAAACTTGGTTTGAGTTCTGAAAAGCACGTAAGAAGTGAGAGAAAACAATAAAATAGCTGAACAGGGTCTTTGATCCTAAACGCTGGTCTCCCCAGGAAGGTCAGAATACTTAGGCACTGTTCCACCGATGGCAGAAAGACAACGAGTGAACAGTACTCTGGGCTAAAGACGAGCCAGGTTTATCGTCAAACATTATAAAAAATTGTGGGATCCACAGTGAGCTTTAAGAAAGTTCTGCGTTTCTCTCAACCGTGGGATGCGGATTAATTGGGAACAGATCCTGCTATACGAGCATGAGGAACAGGCACACTTCAGTGACAGTCTGGGGAGACAAACACAGATCTACAGGCAAGCAGCAGGACTGTGGTGGGGGCTCGCTCTCACTTTGTAAGGCACCAGAATGTCACCTTGCTGACTCAGGAAGCTGAACATACATAAGCACAAAGATCCAAAATGATTACATCCACTCACTCACACACAGCATGAAGGAAAAAAAGATCATCCTTCTTTCAGAACTTCAAGAGCCTTGAGGGGGCTGTGTGGGGCAAAAATAAAATCCAGTAACTCCAAAGAAGAAAAGACTCCCCACGCGCTCCGTGAGATGTACAAACCACAAATTGTCTTAGGGCAAGGCAGCTCAGGACCAAGTATGATTACTGTGAACGCATGCAAATTAATACTTTTTAACATAACTATTCACCAGCATTCTACAGCATAAGGTACACCACCTGCAGACCAAAGTCATCAAAATCTGGATTTAGCAACTCCACCCCACTGCCTACACAGAGCAGGGGAAGCCCTGCTGCAAGTATCATCAAGCAATCCTAATCATCACAGCAGGAGGGCACGTTAGTTTTCACGGCCAGCTGTACCACCTATAATCCACAGGCTTCCCAAAGAAGAGCACCCGAGGCAAAGAAAAGTAAGTCTCACACAATTAAAACCTATCTTTAAAAGGGAGCCTCTGAGAGGGGGTGGGGGAGGGAGAGAGGAGTAAGGAGAAAGTTAGTAACTCCTTCAGAAAGTCCAGCCTCACTTCAGAGGGAGACTTTCAGCTGCCCCTGTATCCCAGGGGTAAGTTTAAAGCAATGCTTACGGACATTACCAGGGCGCACACCGCAAGGCTGCAGGAAAGCATTAATGGCTCAGGCAGCCTCCCAGCTCAAAGGCGTAAGGAGTTCAGCACATTTCATAACCTAAGCTGCAGGCTGCGCTGCCTGGCTCACTTGCTGAAAAGCAGAGCAGATTAGACCAGCAGTGTTGTGGCTAGACTTGTTTCCAGGAGAACGCAGACCTTTCTATCTGCCCTGCAACCTGCATCACAGGCACACACACCGACCCACCTTAAGAAAAAAAAGAGAAAAAAAAATACCTACGTGATAGTAAACAGGGGGTCTGATGTCCTGTTAAAGCAGCTTCCAATCCCCATAATGTCACAGCAGCTTCTCTGCTGGTTTTGGGCGTGCTGGTCCTAGTCTCTGTTCCCTAGCAGAAAGCTTTCTCATGAGACACCAAGCCACCAAAGTCCCTGTGGACCTGGTTGTGTTGCTCGCCCAGGGTACAATCCAGTTTTCTAGGTGACTGCAAAGGTGCCACAATCCATACCCGTAATTGCGCACCTCCTCCTGACAGGCTCTTGGCAACTCCCAGACCAGACAGAGCAAAACCAAGTTCAGCAGCTGTTCCACAGGGGAAGGGGAGGGGAAGCCTACCAGGGGTAGGGCTGACCTCAGAACGCTGTATTTATTTTCCATCTAATGCCTAGAGAGAGAAGGTGGAGACTCAGAAGGATAAAAAGCTTATGCCTGAACTTACTGTTTACTTATCCACCAAAAGCCTAAGTCTTTCACCTTTCTTAACTTGTTAACAGACCTCCCACCTGTGCTTTACAACCTAACCTGTTTAAAAAGAGGGAGAGATTATTTACACATGTTCTTATAATCGTTGAATGTTCGTTATCCAGACTGTAGCTCAACAGGAGGAAGATGAAGCTGGTTTTTTGAATGGTTGAGATTTTGCCTGTTTCAAACACCATCAAGGCTGGCAGTTGTTATGAAAGAGAAGATAACGAAAGAGGGCTAGGAAAAAGCTCAGCTAAAAAGAAACACTGATCAGCATTTTATTACACTGTGTCATGCGCTACAGACTGGCTTCAAAAACCAGCATGGATTTGTGTACTACATCTGAAACAGTTTAGCTACAATGTGCTGATTTCATTGTATTTTGTTGAAGGCTTTTCTACCCATTTATCAAAGACGTCTTAGCCAAGTCCCGAGACAAAAATATACTTCTCCAAACCCTGCTTTCACAAGGGAGGGGTTTCAATGCAAAGATTCCCAATAATAGTAAAATAATGCACCAAGCTAAGCTTAAGCAAGATGTTTAAAGAGCAAAATAACCCCCATTCACTACATTCCTAGCATAATTTCCCTTTTTGTATAACCATATAACAGCAGTCATTTCCCATCTCAACAGCTCTCATGCTAACCTGTCACTTTCAGTGAAATTTGTGGCTAGAAACCAGGCAAACAAAGCTGACCAGTTCAGAAAGCTGAGCTTCCTTAAAGAAGAAAGAAGTGTAAGAAACTTCAATGCTGGAAGCAAGCCACCATAACCGCCCTTTTTCCCCGGCCTCACCAAAATTTTGACCTTGGCTTGAACCGGACTGCTGACAGCAACACCAAAGAACAAGGCAAGAACCAGAAGTCCTGAGCCAATACATCTTAGGTTTTAATATAATTCAACATGTTTTGCTCCAAATACTGGATAACAACCAAAGTTATTAGTGTGTGGCAAAAATACCCGGGGGATAAACTTAATCACTGCAGTATTGCCTTTAATAACAATTTTAATTACGACAGCCAAAGTCTGCAGCCATTTCTGCCCTACAAATTCCAAGGATATTGAATTACTATAGAGTCCAGAAAGCACTTGGGAGCACGTACTGTACAGAACGAAGCTATGCCTCTCTTCAGCACGCTGGGAACCACCCCTCTGTGGATATTCTGCCTGTGCTCAAATTTCGCTGAGGTGCTTACTTAGCCTTTCACGTCACTCAGAGCTACGCTCCAGACAGCTAGCGAAACAGCGTCATCCATGCTTCACAGATAGAGATTTGAGGCCAAAAAACTGGAGAAGTTTGAACAGAGATTGCTTTTAATTTGCAGGAGCAATCTGAGGCCCTGCAGAAGTCAGAGCCCCTTCATAGCAGGCACAGCTAACATATTTTGCAAGACAGAGATGTTTCCACTGCAGAAGATTCTTATCCGAAGAAACAAGCACAACGCACGGGGCGGGAAAGCAGAAGGGATGGTCACCCTGCAAGGTAGCAGGCCACAAACGCTGTGTTGATCTCTTCAGAAAGGCACAGCTGCAAACTACAATCTGAGCTCACGGTGGGTACAAACCCACACCCCTTCTAGGATGTATAAATACCTCCACAGGCTCCCTCGAGAAAGGCAACGCAAAGATCTTACAGAAACTACAGGTAAAACCGACCCCAACGACAGAAGAAATTCTAGATTCTCTAATCCTCCCTAGCAAAGCTTTTACTGAAGCACTTCCAGCAAAGGATAAAGGAAGGAAATTCTGACAGATGGCAGGCGGATGCCGATTGCTCAAGCATGAACCAGACTAAGACAAGGACACTAGTGAGGGATCAGGATCACAGAAACCTATTTCAGGAACTGTCTTTACCAAGAATTTCCATTGTCAATCCTATCCTTCCTTGCCAAGGCACAGATCTTCACAAGACCAGCTATTTGTAACGCAGACCCTAAACACTCGCTGTCTGCTTTGCTGACCTCCAAAGCTAACTCGTATCAGAGTCAGGTCTGCAAAGCCACAGCAGGCACGATTTCAGGCCAAGGCTACTAAATGTGAACGAAAATGTGCCCGCACACTTAAAACTCGACCCTGCACTGCAGACAGAAGGTTTTCTCAGCTATGCTCTCAGAGATGTCTGTATGCAGCCTTCCACGGCAGAATATTGTACTGAGAATGATACAGAAGCACTGTGAGCACACAAAAGGAAATGTCTTTTATCATCCTTTAAACGTGACTATTAGTTCAAAACGCAGGCGAAGGATGCTTTAGTGAAGATTTCTCTTGCTTACAGTTTTGATCATGTAATTCCAGAAAAGATAAAGGTAAAATACGTCACTGAAATTTAGTCTCTACTCCACAAATCAAACAGAATATTCCAAACTAAATAAGGGAAGCCCTACTGTGGGGATACACCCTAGTGTTCTGCAATGTACATGTTTTTTTTAAGGAGGCAGTTAGGTAGTTATTATCCAGTAAATCATGGTGGAGTTTTTTAAAAGAAAAATTATACTCATTCATTAATAGAATAAATTCATAAATAAATTAATCCTAATAAATCCATTTATACTTAATGAGCATTTGAAAAAAAGTTAGGAAACAAACACATCACCACACAAGAGTCAAAATGTTACTCACCAAAATTTCTTAGTCTAGAAGCTTAAAATGACATTGCACAAATAACACGTGTTGAAGAGGTTACTACAGTAAATAAACCTGCAGCCCCTTTATTGCCTAGTAATCAAATGCCCAGCAGTTGTCACTCAGCTGCTATATTAGTTCAGGCTTACAGTATAAGCAGTCGCAGATGGAAGGCTGGATTATTAAAGCTGCCTTGAATGGGTCTGCATTGCACATGCATAGCTGAGTGATAGCACACACTTGTTCTTGTAATGTATCTGATTTAGAAATCCAACTGGTAACTAGACTAGACAGAGCTGGTTTAAGAATTATGGCTGAAAATAACCGCAAGCTCTGTTTTGACTACAGTATAAAACACAACGTGAGAAAATATTTGTATTTCTCATGCTTGACTACACAAAACGTCTCCCTGTGTAGTTTGCTGGCTCCTCCAACCCCATTGTGCTCCAGAAAAAAATACGACTTTTGAAAAATTGTTACGGTTGTGATTTATCAGCGCGTGAAATCTAGAAAACAGCCTGGGTAAAACGCACCACATCCCCTCCTAAAAATCAGCTTGGCATCACCCCTGCCATTGCTGCTTTTGCACTTGAATGTAGCAACACTAATATTTTGCATGAGAGGAAGATTATCTCAGACTTGATTATTTGCAGAACTCACCAGAGTGTGCCTGACTGTTCCAGCCCTAACATAAACCTGATGAGTTTTGCTTTGTAATCCTGTTACCGACACTGATTTATCTTCCAATTACTAAGCACACATTCAGCAAATGGATATACAATTGTGAAAAAGGGTCTTCAGTGAAACTGAGCTGTCCATCCTTTTAAACTAAGGATGAGAGACTCTCCCAAAACAGCCATAAAATTCAAACCAAACAAGACCAATAAAAAAATACCAGTGATGGGCAGATATCAGGAAGAGACTACTCCAAATGGCAAAATATTAAAAAAAAATCAGTACTTCCTGCCACCAGAGGTTCAAACTCAGGTCATTTAAGACCTGAAATAGCGTCCAGGTAAAGGTGTCTTCAAAGCTTCTTTAGAAAACTGATTGGGAACCCTCTGCAGGGCCTGTCTGGGCTTAAGGCCTCTTAAATCCTAGGATTAGGGAGCTGCTACAAACAGTTACGTTGGCCGTGGCTGGGTTTATCTGCATGGGTGCCACGCGGTGGGTCTGGCAGCAGCAGTGCAGGCGGTCGCAATTCTCTGTGCAAGGACACCACACTGCGATCTGTGAAATTGCCCTAGGAGAGGCCTTAGCTCTCTCTGTCGAAGCATCAGCTATGGCAGCAGCTGCGAGACGGGAGGCAGGGCGATGCTCTCTCACGATGGACTAAGAACAGAGACCAGGGTGGGACTGGAAACTCCCAGCTCTCCATCTTTGGTTGAAGACAGTTGATGGGACAGCTCCATAATACAGCTGCATTCCACGGGTCTGTGTGGGATCTCACTGACAGTAAGCCAAGGACTACAATTGTGACACAGAAGTAGACCCTCCTTTGTTACGCAAAACCAAGATTATGGGATGCTGTCAAGTTTGGTGGGCTCTCTCTCCATTCACTCCCCTTATAAGCTTTCTGACTAATAACACTCCAGTGGGCTCATCACAGCACTTTGCCTGGGTCTTGAAAGCAACACCACTGTGCTTGAGGCTCCCTGCAAAGAACCAAAAGCTACCCATCCCCTGCCAGAGAAAGGAGGTGAGAGAATCTCAGTCTCTAAAGGAGGCTCATCCTGTGTTTCATAGCCCTTCAAACCACAGCGGGTGGCAACAAAACCTCAAGAAAACCCAAATCCATACAGTGTCTTTTTAAATGCACAGGGGTTTTTGGTCCTTGGGGAACTGCCAAAGGTTTTCTCTTCTATTTTATTAAGCAAAAACACTGAGATGAGTGATCTCAGCAACAGTCCTAGTGAGTCATAAGTATGCAATTTTTATTCTTCGAAAAGGATGCCGCATTGCCTAAGGCAACGTGTCTTTACAGCTCAGACCTCAGTTATTCCAAAGAAATCAAATCTATCTGCCATTGTTCAAAGGTGATCTCCCTCCATGCCCCTCGTTTCACTTTTTCTTTTAGCAGAACATTTAATTCTTAATGCAGAGTAATCTATGGAACACCAGACCAACAAATCATAGGATTACATTTGCATTAAGGCAAAGCTGTTCCTACTTCTTCCTGCTCCTGCACTGTAAGACATTTCTGAGTAAAATCGTTTCAGCTTGCCAATTTCCTGTAGGAACACTCTTGCATAAAACACATATTCATTGCAGTTACAGTACAGTATTCCACCATGCAATTCAGTCAAATGACTGAAACAAAAAGCATTTCTGACAGCCTGTTTTGTCCAAAAGCACAGTGACTTCTAAGAATCACAACATGTACCTTTCATTCATCTTTAAAATTGCAGCTTTCCACAACTGGAAGCTTCTTCATTATGGATTTCTAATTTCTCTCCATCCCTCCGCACAGCTACCTTCAATACCTGCCACGCAGGAACAGCAGTTTTTATTAGCTGCTTGGTACTAGGAAGACCAGTGCTCCTGCCAGCACACAGTAATGTAAATCAGAACACTGCTACTTTAACAAAAGGCTTGGTAGCATAGACTGGCCTCTGTCTAGACTTCTTTTTATCAACTCAAAGTTAATTTACATCATATCTTCTGTAACCACTGAATGAACCACACTCGTAGAAAAAAGTGAAGAAGTTTAGGCAAAAACCAAACCAAAAAGCCACTAAGAGGCAAGTATTGTCAGACATTAAGTTCTGCTTTAGCAGTCAACTACCTCCAAAGAGCTCTCCAGTGCTTCGGTGACATTCTGGAGTGGTGCTGCAGTGCTTTGTGAAAGTCAAACAACTCACATAGGGCAGTACCAGGTCTGGCAAGTTTCCTGGCGGTCTTCCAAGCTCTCTTTTCACACTAGGAGCAATCACTCTACTGCCTAATTCAAACAGCAGCCCTGACACAGGTCAGATACAAGCCTTGAAAGGAAAAATTGCTCTATTTACACCTTTTACCATTCAGATTCCTCAGAAAAGCAGCAAGTTCTGCAGAGGGTAACAGTCCTGGGGGAGAAATCGCCTAGCCATCTGCCTCTTGATGAACGACAGCATTCTGGGGTGCTCCTGACAAGGGTCAGGAAAGGTAACAGAGCTGGCCTGCCGCCCAACAGAACGCAGCACTGTGCAGCATCACGGAGAACCTGTGCAAAGGCCAGAAAATCTGGACTGCTCTGCAACAGCGCAGCGTCCTACAGTAATTGTTGCCTATTTTTTTTCCTTTAAATGTGAGGAAGATTATGTGCCTTAACAGCAGAGAGTACCTAGAGGTAAAGTAAAAACCACAAGCAGGCACCTCTGAGTAACTACTTGCAGCTAACTATAATATTCACGGAAAGAAAGAGGAAAAAAAAAAGTCTATTTTTATTTTTTTTTTAATATATATTTTCTAATATATATATTTATGAAATCACAAAGCTCATTTCACAATAGGATCTGGCTGGCTTGTCATATTAACACGAGCTCAAGAAACATCCTAATCTGATGGATAAACACAAGCCTCAGAGCTCAGAGGGGACACGTTTGGACAGCAACATCTATCCCTTTGCTAGCAACTCACAATTCTGGCTCACCCACACTGGCAAAACTATGGTAATCAACTCCAGAGAGAGCTTCCCATATGGGAGCAAAACCAGCTGCAAATCTGACGCCACTGTCTTTAGCAAAGTAATTATACTTTTCACTCCACAGATGGATGCAATGCACAGTGGTATTTTCAAGTGGAGGAAAAAAGAGGAAAAAAATAAAATCAGACAGAGACAAGAGCTGATTTCTTATTACTTTTCCTAAAGGCAAGAGGATTACAAGACTCATCTTCATGCCCACCTTAGGAGGCACAAATGAAACTACTGTTGAGACTATTCCTGTCAGCCTCCCTGTGGCCACTTTGTTATCCGAGAACAGTGAAGAGCAAAGCACGTCTAAGAAA